GTTCGGTGAGCTCTGTGTACCATGCCGGATTTATCTGTGGTTTTGGTGCATACTCTGTTCTCCACTTTGACTCTTCCATTTTTTGTTTTTGTGGTGTTGGGGCTACGATTTGTTTGTAATGATTCACTGCCATGTTTTTAATTATATTTGGGTCTGTGACTGCATCTTCCTCTGGATCTTTCAGAAGCAGTTTATCCATTTTGATATGTGTCGGTTTTCTGTTGAGAAATGAGTCAATCATCTTTTTCTTCGCTAGCTGATGATTGTGTTGTCTTATTTCTGTATATTTCTGGATTAGAGTCTGTTTTCTATGTTGGAAGTGCATTTTGAATGCTTTTGTAATACCTGCTCTCAAGTTGCGTGCTTCTTGAAACCACTGTACTAAGTTGATACCTTGAGGCTCTTCTGTCAGTTTGGTCGAGAGAAGCTTTGCTGTTTGTTTGTTTGTTCTGTTCCACTCATTGACTTGTTCTATTGTTTGCTCTGTGTTTATTCTCCCCTGCAAGTATTTTTTCGCGATATTTGTAGTCTTGTTTAGTGCTGTGATCATACGTGCTGTTTCTTTGTCTTTGTAGTTCACTTTCGGTTTGTCTTGTTTTGTTTTTATTTTTTTGATGTTGTTTTTCATGGCTTGGTTTATTACCTCCCATGTCAGGTTCCAGAGCTTGTTTGCTGATATTTGATTTAGATTAATTTTTTCCCCTTGTGCAGTTATAGCGTTTTCGATTTGTGTTGAGAATTGTTCCCATTGTGTTGTGGTTGTGTGTTTGGAGGAGTATCTCCACGTCGCTTTTGTCCTATTTTTTTGTTGCATTTTTTGAATAATATCACCAATCTCGATTCGGCATCCCGCTATTTTGTGGTCACTGTGTATTATTGCTTCTGACTCTGTTATGTATGCGTCGAGTAGGTTCCAGCTCTCATCTGACGACAGCCAGATTTGGTCGATTCTGGTCTTGGTGTTTCTGCTGTTTTGCCAGGTGTACTCTTTTTGTTGTGGATATACTTCTCTGAATGTATCAATGTAACCATTGTAGCTAAGGAATTTTAGTATATGTGACGTGGGGTTATTTGACTTGCTTTGGTTCTTGGACTGGGTTATTTTGTCTAATCTAGGGTTTGGAATTGAGTTGAAATCTCCTAGTACAATGATTTTGTGTCCATTCTTTTTAGCGATCTGAGCTCTTTTCTCTACCCATCGCATTGTTTGGTCTCTTTCTTTACCTAGGGCTGCTGGTATGTATGTTGCAATGATTGTGACCACCGTTTTTTGTTTAAAATGTAGGTCTATACTGATGCCTCTTCCTGTATATTCGATGGTTTTTCCTACATGTGTTGCAATCTTTTGTTGGATCATTATTGCGATGCCTGCCCCTTTATTGTCGCTTGATCACCAGGTTCTATAGTTAGGGCATCTCCAGAATGTGGTGTCTTGTTTCGTTACTTGTGTTTCCGTTATCACTGCGATGTCTATTTGTTGGTCTTCGCAGTAAGTATTCCACTGCAATCTTTTGGTTTCATCATTGATTCCTCTGATGTTGTGTGTAATGATGTGCCAGGTGTTAGTTGCTTTGGTGCCCTTACTAGCTATTGTGAGAGGGGAAGAAAATGGAGGGTAACGCGGTTTTGGTCACGTGACCGACGATCGACCCAGTATCGCGTCGAAGAAGTAGAGAGTGAAACAGACAGAAACATACGAGTAATAATGATGTAATGAGTGTCATATTATGTAATTAGCGAGAGAAAATATGAGAATTTCTTACCTTTTCTTAATCTTTCTAAAAGTTTCGAGACCTTTCTTGAGAAAAATATATAAATTAGCTGACAAAAAGTAATCATGTAAGGGAGTAGGAGGATACAATTTAATAAAGAAAATACTTACCTTGGCCAAATCTAACGCCTCATCAAAACCCTATCTTTAAAAGAAATTTAACACTATCGTTGCACGAACTTTATCACTCATTAGCGACTGACTCGCCGTAACCATCCCCACACTATGTTTGTGTGTGTTGTGTACTGTGTATGTGTGGTTGGTGTGGGGTTTTTCTCGATGTTGGTTTGATCATTCGTTGACCTATGGCTTTCTTCGTCTGAGTGTGTGTTATCGTTTGATTGTGTGTCTTCCTCTGGATAGTTGTTTATTGAGTTGTAGATGTTGAAAAGGTTCTCGGCTATGCTTTGCGCATCAGCGCTAGTGCTATGGTTGTTCCCCATTATTGATAGTTTGTCATGTTGTTTGTGTTTCCGGGAATGAAGTTGTGGATAGTGTTCATAAGGTTGTTCATTGTTTGATTGGTATTTTGAATGGTCATATGGATTTGTCTTTGCTGTGCTTGGATATCTTGAATCTCGTTATTGTTATTGTGTTCACTTTCCTGATTGTTTTCTGGTTGGTTGTTGTCTATGCTCTGTTCAGAGGTATCTTCTGTTTCCTCCATGGCTCCCACACCATCCTCATCGTAATATTCTAGGTTAGTGATTCTCTCATCCATTTCGATCATTTGTTGTTTGATTTCCATAAGGTCCTGTTGCATTTGTTGAAGAATGTTCATCACTTCTTGTAGATTGTTTGGGTTGTCTACTGGTTGCTTTTGAATTGATTGTGATTTTGCCGCTGCAGCATATGATCCTGGCCTGCTTGATCTTTGTTGGGTACACATCATTTGCATTGTTTTCCTAATATTTGTAGTCTTTGCAGGTTTGAATTTCTGGTAGAGTCTTCCAAATCTAGTTGCTTGCTCTTGGTTATATTGTTGCCATTGTGTTCTTCTTTCTTTGGTCGGGCAGTTGACTGCTAGGTGTGTATGTGTGTCACAAATTGCGCAGGTCTTGTTGTCGATCTGTGCCCATGTGATTTGTGTTTCCCCAAGTATAAACTCGTTCATTAATGCATTCTGCAGATCCTCTTGACTTTCGAAGCTGATGATTGCTACTTTCCTTCTTCGGTAGCTGCCGGTTTTAGGAATGTAACAGGTTTTTGCTTTGATCTGTTGGCATATTATGCGTAAATCGAATGCAGTTGTATTTGGTGGTAGGTTAACCAGTTTTGTTGCGATGTTTCCTCTGTTTTTCATTTGTGGTAAGTTAAGTTGTGCGTCGAAAATTCTTACTGAGTCTGCCTTGAGTGGAACACTTCACGTGTTTGTTAATTTCTCCTTGCTGTGAGGGTCTTTCAAAGTCCTCTCTATTATTTAGGTTTTTAAGGCTGAGGCGTAATAATTTGGTCCGAGTATTCTGCTCTTTCACTATAAAATAAACTCAAATTCGTCCATTAACAATGCGCATTCATCTACTCAAACTATACCTAAGTTCCTGTTGTAGCAATGGGCATTCACACTTCTCAATTACTTTAAAACTCTTCCAAAGTCCTTTATGGTCGCAGTTTTACAAGCAATTCATTTGAACAAATAGATGTTAACAGTTTTTAAGCAATTATTCACTAGTTTGTTTATAAAATCTGTTAAGATAACTACACTTTTTCCTATACCGAAAAAATTGCCTTTTTAGGAA